ACGGGTCAGTGTCTCAGGCACACAGAGCAGTATGGAGGGATACTAACTTGTCAGGCTTGTGGGTTTTGACTACTGCCGTAGCCAGACTGCAGGAGCCAGACAGAGGCCGTGGGGCTCCCTGGCTTGTAGCTGCTTCCATGCTATACCTGCCTGGGACGCTTCATGCAATGGGCCCAGGGAGAAATGCAGCAAAGGGAAGTGTGACACCCCCTCCTGCCCCCCACTGAATGCCTAAAACATCCATAAAACCCATGCCCCAGCCTGCTGTCTTAGGCCTGGGGAGGGAATGGCCCTGCAGGCGCATACTCAGAGCACTCAGCTCTTATTAATATAGAGGATGCCTCTGGATCCAGTTATGCAAATGGGTTGCTTCATGTTCCAGCAGTAAGTCAACTCCTGGCCTCTCTACTGCAACCCTTACCCATCAGCAAGACCCACCAGGACAGACTCTGGCACATGCACAGGCCTGTTGCAGGACCTGGGCTTCTGGCTGACAGCTCCCCACTCCTTTTGCCACGACCCACTTCAAGGAATGAGACAAACAGCTCAGCAGGAAACGGTTTCAAAAAAATGTTTTTGCAATAAACGGCATGTGCTGAAACCTCAGCCCCAGGAGCCTGCTTCTCAGGTGGAAGCAATTTCCAGTAACATGCACAAGGCTGCTAGGATGTGGCTAGACAAGAAACCAAGCGACAGGATGAGGCACGGAGACCAGAGGAGCGCTGAGGATGGCGCTGAAGGGCTTGGCACGACAGCGACTGTGCAGAGGCTTGGAATCAGACCCCCGTGCTCGCTGCTCGGGGCCGCTCCCAAGGTGGAGAGCAGCAGCCTTGCTACAGGCACAGCGTCTGCGCGATAAGCGAAGGACGCCAGGCCAGATGGACCGGACACAGCCCAGCAGCCCCCGTAACAGTGAAACGCCACTCCCATGGGCATCACTTCTGGGCCGTAAACCCCCACAGCATCCCCTCCACCCATCAGCACACGCAGCTGACTGCCGGAGAAGCCCGGGGGCAGAGAAAGGCTCGTTACCTTAGGCTCCTGGATCGTGGCCGCAGGCAGGGCGAGCGCCGGCCCTCCTCGTCCGTGATGCTCTCCGTGCTGCGGAAATGTTTAGAGAGAAAATGCAGCTCATCGAGGGTGGGCTGGTACGGCAGCTGGTGCAGGCGCTCCTGAGAGGACGAAGATGACTGGAAGGAAGGACAGGTGACAGGCATCAGGAGACAGCCAGGCTGCTCTCGGGCAGAGCAGGACAGAGACCTAAAGGAAGCAGCAGCCTCGGGATCCTGTGACTGGGACTGCTGATGGCAGCGGGTGGAGCTGTCCTGGGGTAACCTGCTGCGTTAGGGGCTTCTGTGTGTGCATCACGGGACACCACGGAGCCACACACCATCCCAGCCGCACCAAGGGCTCTGCCATGCCCCGCAGCATCTGCTCTTCTGGCTCTGGGCTTCGCACATGCTCCTCGGCGGACAGCCCTCCGTTCCCACCTGCAACACGGTCTGCTACTCCAGTCCTGTCCCCCACCACAACAGCTCTGCAGTGCACCCAGGCTGGACCTACCGCCCCCACACTAATCTGCAAAAAGCAACAGCTGCCATCTGCAACATGCTGCAGCTAGCACAGAAACACCCTATAAACAGTTTCCAAGTGAAACACGTGGCCGGGCAGAGAGGCCCTGGAGAGCAGAATGGATCCGCTTCGGATGGAGGCCCCGGGAGGGCTCAAACACCTC